TTTATATTTATATTATTTTGACTCCGGGTTTTGTTTTCTTTTTGCTATTTTATTTAATCTTTTTGTGCAAATCTGCAGGCCATTTGCTCGACGACCTCCCGAAGCTGTTCCCAAAAGAATGGAACGCCTGGAATCGGAGTAGGTGCGGCTTTTCCCTGGATTTCCTTCAGGTGTATGCTCACCGTCAGGTATCTAGACACCTTCAGGTACCTGTACACCTTCAGATGTATGGACACCATCAGATGGATATCCATCAGGTGTATGTACACCTTCAGGTGTATGTATACCATCAGGTGGATTTACGCCATCAGGTGGATATAGGCCATCAGGTGTGTGCCTGCATTCATCTGTCTGTACACCCGGATCCTTCTGTGTATAAATTTAATCCTGTGGCGGCTTCTGCTTGCAGGGACCCGCGATTTGTTTTCCCTCAAGGCGAGAGCTTCCAGGAGCGGTAGGGCAGGCTGATTGACTGTACAGAAACAGTTTGTATTCAGAGTTGTTGCGGCTTTATTTGTCTACCGTTAGCCGTTGAGAATCAATGCGGCCTCCTTGTTTATGTCGCGGCTCCCCGCGCGCTGCAGTTTGTGAATGATTTGTTTTGCCTTGTTTCCCTGCAGAACCTTTCTCTCTCTCTCTCTCTCTCTCTCTCTCTCTATATATATATATATATATATATATATATGGGTGTGTAGTACGCATTCATGCGACTCTGCAGTTATCCATTTGTGCGAATGTTTATGCGAAGCACATTGCATGCATGCATATATATATATATATATATATAGAACACTTATACGGCTATATATGGGCAGCTATGTCTCCTTTCGTTATTAAGCTTATATGTACATATTTATATCTGTACAGACGTACGTACTGCTGGATGAATTTGCTACTTGGGGTTGTTGCTGCGCCGTCTGCTGCAGTTTTGATCGCGTGAAGGAATTTTTTCTTGAGGTCACGCGGCGGCATTTGGGGCAGCGAATTCTCGTTGTGACTCATGGAGGCGTTTTAGACGATTTGTTTCGACTTGTTCGGTGAGAGTCGATGGCCCGGGGTTTAGGGTTTAGGGTTTGGGGTCTAGGGTTTAGGGTCTCAAGAGCCACAGGCAGTTAGGTGTTTGGGTTCAACGTGCATTTGGCACAAGTAGACGTGTTAAGGGCATCTGCTGGTTTGCTGTACGCAGCGGGTTTGTCTCATGATTATAATATATATATGTATATATATATATATATTGTAGATAAAGCAACAACCATATATGCGTCTAAAATGCATATAGGAGAACAACAAACTGTTCTGAACACACGAGTATGATGGTGTTGTCTCTCACGCAGGAATATCCCCATGCACGTTAAGACCAACGCCCCAAAACTTAATGCCGAAATCCACACAGTGAAGGCTCATATCAACAAAGTGCCCCCTACAGTACCTTCACCCAGTGTATCAACAGGTAGCAGTAGCAGCAGCAGCACTTCAGCTGCTGCATCGCCGACACCGCATGCAAACATCACCGCTGCAGCAGCTGCCGCAAGTGCTGCTGCTACTGCTGCTGCTGAAGTTACGTGGGAAATTGTGAGTTGGGGAAAACTCACGAAGTCCGATAGCCTATTGTCAGGGCAGGTGGACACCCACACCCCCATTGATATATCTGTGCGAAATATTGAATACGCATAGCAGGCCTTCTTCATTTGCACGAATGTTCTCCTCATGCACCAATGGTCTGCTCGTGCATTCGACAGCATTTCAAGTTGGCCCGAGTGGGACGCCAGCTTTACTCTTGGGAAACATTTCCCCGCGGTGTATTTATTCTTCTTTCGAAGAATACTTTCAATATTTTAATCAATATTCCACCAAGGCGCAAATAGGCGGCATAACGATATAACCCACATGCATCCGCCTGCGCACAGTGTACTACACGTGGCCGTAAGTCGGCCTTAGAGTGGCAATTAGTGCAACGGAGAAAGGAGAACTTGCAAAATAATCTGGTTGATTTGGTTTGCACAATCTGCTTAACGAGCAGTCGAAGGACTGATGATGTATCAGCACAGGCAAAGAGGTTGCAGCTTAGCCCTTCGTTGAGTTCAGTGAATAAATTATTGTTTCCTAAACATTATTTATACTAGGCACTCCTCTTTTGTCTGGCTCGTCTGGAATGCGGAAACAATGCACTTAATGGACAAACAAGGCAGTTGAAGTGAGCCCCAAGGAGCGGTGAGTGGCAGGGAAGTCCACACCGTTGGGGTGTACGCGCCACTCAAGGAAAAGTGTTTCTGCACAGCTTGGCGATTTGCGTGTAGTGCATTGCACAGCCTAGCGTTTGCAGGCTGATGGTGAGTGCAAAAAGATATATCTTTTGCTTTCAATAATGAGAAACACCAAAACAAAACTTTTCTGTTTCTTTGCTCCTCTTGTGGCAGCCACTGCTGCGCTTCCCGAGCAGTTTACGCCAGGAAACCCAAACAAAATTGGCCACCATCTTCTCCGGAATGGGGAGGAAAACAGCATTAAGATGAATATGCATAATTACAACTCGGGGTTGGTGTTCAAGCAGAAGGCAGAAGGAGAGCATTTCAGGGAGTGCGGAGAAGGTAACGAACGTGAAAACTAGACAGAAGATGGTACTATTTGGTTAACTTTGAATTTATTAACAACAAAGGGCATAAAGGACTTCTCACGATGGCCCTAGACAACGCCGACCCAGACGCGACAATGCTCGTTCACGCGCAGCTGTCGAAAACGAATTTCTCTGTGTTTACCGGCGCGGTTAGTCTCCTTTGCTTGTTGAACGAATGAATGAATGAATGAGTGAATTAATAACAACTAATACTTGCATGGTGCAGACAGTGGAGAAGGAATACAGACTAAAAGAAATACACATGCCAGTTGAGACGGTTGACGATCGCTGTTTCCTCGTGAAACAGAACAATGATTTCGGAACCATTTTCTGTGCCAGGTAATTTATTAGGGAGAAAAATAGGGAAAAGGGGTTTCAGCGCCTTTTTCGCTCACTTAAAGTGGCATAAAAGGCCACAAGAACAAACAAAGCAATTCAAACAAGCTGCATCACGCTTAATAAGAATTAAAAGGCAACAAAAATAAGCCGTAATCGACATAATAAACCCTCTGCTTCAGGAACCTTCACACCCGAAATGAATGGATGAATTATCTCCACGAGGCGATTTTGTGCGAAGAAACCGGAGTGGTGAGGCGGAAGTAAATATTCTTTTATTAATAAACAGGCAAGATTAATTGATTTTATGATTTTGTGAAAATATTCAATTAGTAATAAGCAAGCAATAATTGATTGATGCCATAGTCATACTCAATAAATAGGAAACAAGACTAATGAAATTTATAATTGTGAATGCAAACACTTAACTGATTCCGAGCATATCTTCAACTAATCATAAATGCTTCATAATTAATGGATGCCCTGCTTCTATACTAATACAAATAATAAATGCCTCATGACTAACGATTTTTCTGCTTCTATGCATGGATTTAATTGATTGTTATCCTCCCACGATTATTCAATCTTATGTTTCTACGCACGCATTCGACCAATACTTTCTTCACAATCAACTCATTTTCTGCTTCTAGAAAGGCAAACTTCCAGCCGAAGCTGGTGAAGAGATGTAAGCAGATATTCAACGCTTAAGTGCGCCGTGCCTCATTCCAGTTTCTGCACTTTTTCTGTAGGGAACAGGAGGAAGCTGTCATTCAAACGATGCCGGTGCAGGAACCTCGGGGCATAAACATTCATCTGTAATTTCTTCTTTATACAAGCCATTTATTCTGGTGTTTTACCGTGAAAACAAAACAATTATCAGGTCTGACAGCCCTCTGGGGAAGCCGCAGATCCTCGTAAACGGGGTTACTGTTCAGGTATGTTCGCTATTACCCTTGTCTCCGCACTTTTGTTGCATTTCGACTGTCTTCACAGGAAATGGAAGGCATTCAAAGGGTAAGTGTTAATTGTTTATTCCTAATCGCTGCTTTTAAATCGTCATTTCTGATACTTTAGGCGCAAGCCGTTAGAGAGTGAGAAGGAAGGAACATGGGCTGCGGAAAGCCGCTTGCTGAAATGGTGTAAATATTTATCAATTCTGTCATCGACAGTATGTGACTACGCGTTGAAAAGTACAACATAATATCCTCAATATGCTATGCCGCTGCATTACTTGACAATAAAGTTCAAATTTCCCTCTTTTCCTCTTGCAGTGTCACGCCCCGGCCACCGTCGCCCAGCATTCATGAATTCCCCAATCCGGCCGCCTCTGTCAACCCGCAGGACCCGAATGCCCTCGACGCAGAGGGGGAAGAGAAGTCGGCAGAGAGTAAGCAAATAAATAAATAAATGCACCAAACGGAATAAATTAATATTAATCAACCCATTATTTCAAAACAACAAATTATTTGCTCTTTGACAGCCATCGCTGCTATAAACGAAGCAGCGGCCGAACAACGACTCGTCAGCCCTAAGGACCCCCGGGTACCAGAAAACGGATATGCGAAGAAGTCAATGCAATAAAAATAGTAACTAAAAGAAAACTCCAACTCCAAACTGTAAGAACCAGCAATAAATGCTGCATACCGACACCCATACTACCCCCAGTTCTCCTGTTGTGTTCAGGTTGCCTCAATAGATCAGGTTCACACAAGGGGTCGGCAGCAAATATATTACTGTTTCAAACAAAGGATCAAGAGAGTTAAAAAATGAAGCGGAACGCCACTCTTGAGGGTACAGAGCGTCTTCCTTCCTTTTGAAAGGGCAAAAAGAACACAAGAAGCAGTCCCGGAAGCAGCTGCGGCAGTGGTCCACTGGCGGTCCACTAGTGGTCACCAATGGACCACCGGAGGCAACTGGTTGTCCAGCAGCCCGAGTGACTCTACTGTGGCAGCTGCGGGGAGTCTGGCCTCGGCTCTTTGTGCAGAATCCGCACCAATAAGTAATTCTTCCAGGGGCCAATGCGATACCCCAGCGGCTGCAGCCGCACAACGTCTCCTAAACGCGCTTCGCTCGCCTCGTCGTGCGCCCAGACTTTCTTTGTGTACCTGAAGGTCTTCTTGTAACGAACCACGTACATATATCTGTGTAGATGCATACACACACGATTCCACACACATGTAGACAAATATGTGTGTAGGTGCTTGCCGGTGGGCATCTGAATGAAAATAGGCTTTGTTTGTGTGTATTGGTATGTGAAGGCAATAATTGCAATCGCAATAAATATTGTATAAGTTGGGTTTTACTACTGAGCAATCTTCTGCTACGAAATAGCTGCAGATAGACCTGGCAATCATTCAAGTTACCTGTCGCAGGCGACGCGGATGGATTTGGGGTGTTTGTCGTTAATCACGTAGCCAACCAGTTCGTTTCCGGGAAGTTTATTCTTCATAACTAAAAAGCACAGCAAAAACGCCACACGAAAAAGAATTTCAACATGCATGCATGCAGGAAAAAAGGCAAAGGACGTGAATCGGCGCTCGAGTATGGAGTAGCCACAGGCGACAACCGGCGTGGATTATTTATGATTCGTCTTGTTTTCTTCCCCTGCATCTGCATTCAATATAATTCAATTTAACTTGGTACACATATGATGAGTCACTGTTCTTTTCCTCTACTGCGCTTGCCTTACGTACATGTACGCAGATAACCCGCTGTTGAACGCTGCCACGCCTTGTAGTGCCAGTGCTGCAGCACCGCTGACAATCGGAGCATTTTCTGATTTTTAAGGTTTCTATGAATTCTTTCATTGACAAAATGCCGCGGGTATTCCCCGAAAAAGTCGAAGAAGACCAGCCTATGTCGGCTTGCCCCCCCAACCTGTCATTTCACCCACCCGGGGCTGCACAAACCCCTAAATCCGACGTATATTCATGAATAAAATGTATGAATAGGGAAAATCCAATACAAAAAAACAATTTAGGTATTATTTCCCCCCTTCTAATCCTTCAACCGCCCCGGTGCATGCAAAGGGGCTGGCCGACGGGCCCCGAGAGAGGAAGCAACACCGAGCGCAGCACACGGAAAAACGGAACCGTGTGCATATTTGCCACTCTTTGATGTCATATGATTTCATCAGTTCGTCTTAAAGTAACATAATTATATTTTTATATTGTAGGTTTATATGTTTGCATGTGGTGCGGTGCCTCACAGTTCGCGTTTCCAGCCTAGCGGCTGCACACAATGCCTGACGGCTCTGCAGCGTCAATTTTCTTCAAGCAACCAAACAACTGCAGCTAACAGCGCCAAACTTGAATATTGGATTATTTTGAAGTTATTAATTAAAGTAATGCATATAAATAAATATAATAAAGCGAGTTTCCTTGACCGTTTTGGTTGGATGCAGAGAATTTCCGTTGGTCACCTTGTGGGTCCGCATGGACTGCGGCAGCAAAACGCATATTAGAGATGAATGTTCCTACTTCGACAGTGTTCTGGTACTCACTATGAACCAATTTGTCTAAATGGTCCAAATTAGCTGCATGGGGTGCCCTTCCTACCTCCAGTCTCCTTGAAGGGCTCCTCCCATTGATAGAAGTATAGGCGAACTGCGCGCTGTCTCCACTGGAGAAGTCGCAGCAAAGTGGGAGTTTCCTGAGGGGTCTATATATGAGTGTATTCAGCAGATATCTGTCGGTGTTAGGAGATATTGCTGCTAATTGCAAGGCGTTCGCTTTGGTTGTCCTTTCCGTTCCCGAATGTCATGCATTAGCAACGAAGGGGTTCATCCGCAGCAAACAAGTGAAGAAAAATGCTTGCATATGCACGAGACCCTTTATATACGAACACAACCACAAGGGGCAGCAAATACATGCCTGCTGCAGCAAACACAGAAGTGGTCCGACATTATATTATAGGTCTGAGCAATGCAAAAGCAGAGGCTTCTGCGCTATTACCTGCTCCTGAACTACTTTCTTAGATGCTCAGTTCTTGTTCAAAGTTTCAATGCAGAGCCTCTTCATGTCCCTATCCTCCGTGGTGTACGTACATCAACATGCCCCCCCAAACAAAAAACAACGGCCTTGTGAAACCTCTGTGTTTAAGACTGGCATTGGTCTCTATCATGGTAACTTCACAATTAATAAAACTGAACATAGGGAGGGGCACCCTATCGGAGCTCAGTGGTGGGTGGGCTGGGCTGTATATGCAACTGCGTGAACTTGAGGAACTTAAAGTCATTGTTTTTAAAATACCGGGCCCGTAGGTAGGAGGCAAAAGGCTGCGTTTATCAAACACCAGCAAAGTAACTTGGGAAGTACAGAGATTCGCTTGCTCGTGCATGCATATCGAGAGCACTGAAATAAAGCCGCTGCACCACAGGGTGAAGTTTATGTGGAAGTGAATCTAAGGCAAGAGAAACCTCAAACAAATGCATATACGGTTTTATCTGCTGCATCACAGCACACTCATGAACGTGCTTCATGTGCATCTCTACCCTCCGCTGCCGCAGCTGGCGGTCCATGGGGTGTATGTACACTTCAGGAATGCAGCTGTCGCGGAGGTCCGCCAGACAAATCAGCACAACAGTCCTTGCCAGCTGCATTTCTTTTGTTTGCGGCTTCGTGCATGCGCTCAGAAGCCCCAATTCGTTTTCGTAAGTTGGGGCAGCATTTTTGAACAAACTTTCGAGCTCTTCTTGGCTGTCCGCTGCCGCCGCTGCTCCTGCCGCTATACCTGCTAGTGCTGCTCTTGCTGCTGCTGTTCCTGCCGCATGAGCCTTTGTACCTGTCTCCAACTGCAGGCCCCGCCCCTGCTTCACCTCCGCGACCTCCTCCTTCACACCTTCTTGCTTTTGCTGCGCTGCATCTTTGGCTTCCTCCGCCTCATGCTGAATAACTTCATTCCCTCCTGGGGGTTGGCTGCTGTTAGCGAGTCGCTCAATACAAACCTCAGCAGCACTAATCCTGTGGCTGTACAGCTGCTGCCTCGCTAAGCCTATAGACAAATACACAATGCAGCAAATAGACAACGCAAGAACTTAACTGCAACGCAAACTGCCACCAGAAACAACTCCATTCAACGAGTTAGTTAAAACAAAACTATAAATGCCGCCGCAGACGTAGCAACCGCAGCATCAACACAAGCATCATCCACAGCAGCTGCACCGCTAAGTAACCTAAGCACCAGCAACAGAAACAGAAACATCTGCAGGAGAAACAGCGACAGCAGCAGTAGACGCAGCAATAGACGCAGCAGGAGATGCAGCAGCATACGCGGCAGCAGGAACAGCACCAGCAGTAGCAGACGCAGCAACAGAAACAGCAGCAACAGCAGAAGCAGCGACAAACCCCAGTAATGATCTCTCGCGTCCCTAATGTCTCCCCTGCTTTCTTCAGTTTCTGTTTCTGGACCACTGGCCCATTTACCCACGTCTTCTGTTGCTTCGACCTCAACATTATTCAAAGGCCCGCGGGCCCTTGACAACTTCAAGGAGGGAACAGAAAGAGTAGAAGAAAGGACTCTTCCTCCAGCCTCTTCTGCACACAAACAAACGACTAACACAACAGCCACCTATACCTATATGCATGCATGCATGAATGCGTACAAGGGGCATGTATCCTCTAAGGCATTTGCTGCCTCCAACAGAGCTGAGCAGCAAATGGAGACAAACAAGAGGGACGGAAAATGCAGTAAATCCGCGGGAGGAGAAGCGCAGCAGTGCAGGTGCAGAGGGCGAAAACAGCAAACAAATGCAGCAACGGAAGCGTTGTGTTTGCCCTGTAAATACACCTGGGAGCTGTGTAAGAGAGCAAAATGGCTATAAGAGTGCAGTACGCCGCCTTGTACGGAGAAGTCCACCGGTGTTCGTTTGTCGATACGCACCTCGTGACAACTCATCAAAGATGTACGGCTTATAAACCCATGTATATGTACATTATATATATATATATATATATATATATATATTGTATCCACATGTGAATATAACATATATGTATACATATGATGTGGATACACAAATGCGTGTGCGTACAATTACCTCTATATATATAGGTATTCTTATATACACAGATATACAAATATATATACATATATGCTTATATATATAGATAGGAAACGTATAGTTGCATACGGCCAGCGAGATACCGTGTTTTGTATGGCACGCGACAGTTTAGTCTCTTTAAGGCAACATCGGCTGCATTACCTGTTGGTTTTTCTGCCTGGTCTTCCTGCTTATGCTGCAGGGATTTGTTGTCATTTAACAAACGAGAAATGCTGTCTGCTTTGTGCACAAGGAGGGAGACGTCTGCATCAGAGGCCGCCAGCAACGGCTGTCCGTACACCCCAGTTGGGGAGCGAGCAGGCGACGGGGTGGGAGAACGGCACTTCTGCCTGCATGCACCAAATACTAGAAACGAGCGAACAATTTGCTCCCGCTGCATGCATGCAGATGATGCAGTGTGAATCTTTTTAAATGTGGCTGCAGCCAGTTGTTGGTAGCAGCTGCTCGAGATGAGCTGAAGATACGCCTGAAGCTGCATTTACACCTGATTGCTCAGCGTAGAGGAATGCTACGACGTACCCTCGGTGCCTCTTACAACTGGGTAAGCTGTGCTGCTCCTCGTCCATCCCCAATGACGCCTCCACAGGCGGCTGTACAGACACCACGCATGCACCGGCCTCTCGGTGCACCGCACTGCCACTGCATGAAGCGGTGGGAGAAGTCTCCATCTCAGCTTCTGGGCACAGCGTTTAAAGACGTGCGGAGGCTCAGGGGCTTGTGTGAGCCCGTAGGAGCCTATCAGGAAACAGGCAAAGGCGTCGTTGGAGTCCGTGCTGCCGAATAAGGGCAGAGAAAGAAGAAAACACAGGCTGCAATTAGAGATTAAAAATGCTTAAATGGAGGAAAAAATGGCTTAAGTGGGGGACCCCTAGGACGCTGAACATGGTGTACAGACAGCGGAGATGAAGAAGGGAGGCAGCTCACGCCCCTTCTGCTCTTCCCTTGAAAAAAAACAAACGGATGATAGACAAAAAACAACAGAGACTCATTTGTTTAGAGGCAGCTGCGTGCAGCGCGTGTGGACGCGGCGGAGTTTGAGGGCAGCGGAGAGTAGACTTCAGGAGAAATGCAGATAAATAGACCAACGAACAGCAGCTGCATGAGCCGTATTGTCGTGTAGATGTCAGTGACCGTAAGAAGAATGAATACCTTGAACATGCAAATACACAGAGAAGAAGAGGCGGCAAACCACAGCACAGAACAGCACAGCAGAGCAGAGCACAGCAGGAACGCAACTCGGAGGATGTTTCAGATGATAGGGGGCGAACTCGGAGGCCCTAGTTGTCTTTCGTTCATTAAAAAACAATTAGTGCTTAAAAGAGGAAGAGAAATACACAAATCAGAATCCAGCTGTCGCCGACTTGCACGGTGCGGTGCCCCTTGAACTACATCAACGTCGATCGGGAGAAGCTGGCGGCAATCATAGCCGACTGGCGAACAGCCTGAAAAAAAATAAATTCTGTTCTAACAGGAGAATGGATCAAGCAGTTTTAAGTGATTTTTTAACTACAAAAACAAGAACAAAAGAAAACACCCAACAAAAACACCCGGTCTGCGCCGCCTCGACACAGACCGCCGGAGCCTTCCAGGGCTATGGGAGACCGAGTCGCGGCGGTTGTGGGGTGGTGGGAGGCCGTCGATATTTCGCTTGTTTTGTTAATTGTGAAAAACTAAAATATTTAATGCAATTATTTAGAGCGATATGCGCCTAGAATTAGCAGGAAGGCAAACGCGCGGCAATAACGCAGCCCGAAACCCAACACCACACGGACGGTATACTGTAGCATGGTCAATCCAAAGTAGGTACATGGGCAATTGCTTCACCCTAGTAGGTAGTCTGCACGCAAGCAGAAGCACAACAACTAGCTACACTGTTAGCGCAGACAGCGAAGAGGGGATTGGTTGTACTTGCACGTGAAGGTACCTTGCCGCATCACTTGCAACGAGGTGCGCTGCAACTCATGTCAGGTCGACTCCTTTCTCCCAGCCCCAGGACCATACGCCTCTATGCCCAGAACGCCTGGGGAGTAGAGCGTATGTTAGCCGTATTTCAGAATTCTCTGCTTAAGCCCTTTGGCGCGACTGCAGCTCACCAGAGTCCTCCGACAAGATCGCGGACTCTAGCTACAGTTGGTATCGGTGTTAGTTTCATCGGGCCAGGCGCGAGAAAGAAACCACCCCCCCAAAGCAGGGGGTCCCGGTGCATACATAGCAGCGACTAGCACTGTGGACGCTTCAGGTTCTCTTTCAAAATCTTCATCAAAAGGATAGCGTTTTTCTCCTATCGCGTAGTAAAGATAGATCGGGATCCTCCCCTCCGTGGGGATGCGACAACCGGACGAGGGCCTCGTCCCTTTGAAACAAGCTCATTTTCAGCATCGCACCCAGTAGAGAATGCTTTCCAAGCAAAACCAGTCCATGAAGAATGGTTCCGCCGTTGTCGACCGTCTAGATATGACAGGCGCCGCGACGGAGGGACAGTGAAGAATTTATTTGCTCCTATGGGGTTGTTTTCGTATCCACAATGCACCAGGAGAGCTGCAGCTGCTTGCGGCATCTTCAATACCATGAGGGAGTGCGCACCAGTGGTGGTTATAGCTAAGCAAGGATAGCACATCCCTATTATGGAAGCCTTCCGAGATGAACTGTTGGTAGTCCCAGGTCGGCAAGCGAATAGGCTCTGGCAGAGCTGAAAAAACTTTAGCAGGGGGAGCTGTCGACAGAGCACAACATCGAGAAGTATCAGCCCTTGGTGAATGGAAGTCCAACGGGAGATTCGGGACTTCTATATCAGTGATCCGGCAGGGCTATTCTACGGGTGAAATGGTTGGCCTCGCAGAGATATTGGAATACTCACTCATCAAGGAGAGATAAAACTCCGTCTTCACCGCCCTAGCTGGAAGGGAGCCTACGGATATCGGGCAAGTGAGTACTAACCCCTATTAGAAAACGATATAGCGGCAGTCGAAAACAGCAGAAGTTTTGGGAACTCAGGACTCTCCGGAGCGTCTGCTGACGCATCTGCTTATATTTGTGGGTATACAAATAGCGAGTGCAAACGTGTATGGAAAACAAAGGGATTGGACGAGCAGCAACACCTCTTGGGGAACGCAAAAGGCGATCGGCGAAGCACCACGTCCCCCAAAGAGTGTACGGGGACGAAAGGGGTGACAGCCACATTCACGGGGATGAAAGGGGTGACAGCCACACCTGCAGATCCCTATGCAGTTACCTCGGCGCTCATCCAAATTCTTAATAAAGGTCAGGAGTTTCTACTTGACGCAGGCTGCAGAGTGGATATGATATCTTAAGCCATGGCGAGGAGATGTATTTTTCTTGGCGCAGTCTCTGCGACTACGCTTCGCGGTTGGCAGGAAAGGCAAATGAGCCAAAAAAATATGGGGCACAGTAGAACAATTCAGAAATTGTCAAAGAACATGGTACCGGGCTTCTATATTGGATCACTTCACTACGACATAATTGTAAGCATTTCTTGCGTGACCCAGAGGAAGGCACACAGGCGGCCCGCATACGACGCTGTTGACGTGTACGGGTTGGGAAGCGCTGAGAAGGTGCGTACCTCAACGCCCCCAACGGAATTTGCATTTTCTACTTTAGGCGGAGTGGGAAAGGTGTCCCAAGTAGGCTTCTCTGCAATGCAAAGGCGCCACAGGAAACAATGGAGAAATGCATGAGCCTCGTTGTGAGCGTCGTACGAAGTCTACGGATTTTGGGAACTCGATCCCCTTAACGCCGGTGGAAAAGCAGAACTGGACACAATTAAAGGAGATTTTATATATATTACATTACAAAGAGCTACCAGGAGGCGGGCCGCCGTCTGCGCGCCCAAACCGCTGCATCGAACTCTTTCCCAGAGTAGCCTCAAGCTTTTTTCCAAGGCAGAGGCGACTTCTACATCTTGAGAAGTAAAGCAGACAAATTACACGGAAAAGGCAAAGTTTAACTGTCAACTGGCGTGTTTGGACGGAATTCTGTGGTGCCGAAGAAAAAGGAGGGGAGGTGGCGCACGTGCGTCGATTCAAGCATGTGCTTCTGGAGGAAATATTTCCGGTCCACCATACTAACGAAATGCTTTACTGTTCCCAGAGCATAGCATTTCGCTCATCATCTGACTCCGCTGAAGCGCTTTTGCCATTCCCAGTGCATCCTACGGACAGGCACAACACGGCGTTGCATACTGGCACTCGCAAAACTAGACATGGATGCCATTTGGGCTCGTGAATGCGCCTGCCAGACAGAAACGACGAACTTATCAACATTTCTTGAGGCTCATCAATGAGGGATGGATGGTAATATGCGAGGGCTGTGTACCTGCGTTCAACCGGAATGTGCATAAGCGCCTACACCACCCGCGGCGTGCTCTGCAACTACTGCGTGAGGGGCTGCGTTCCATGAAAACACCAAGGTGCCCGTTTTCCGTTTAACCAACTAGCTTCTTGGGTTTCCTTGTGTCTGAAGAAAGTGCCGAGACAGGTACGGCAAAAATAGAAGCCACTCGGCGGTGGCCACTACCCCTCTACACTCGTACGGGTGCCCAGATGTTCCTCGGCCTGTCATTCCGCCACCAGAGGAAGAGCTTGAACGCCTCCAGCAGCTAAGCAAAGAACTGCTGAATGACGAAATGGACATATCGGTTCTATCCAACAGAATCACCCATTCCCCCTGCGTGCGTGTCAACACAGAGCTCTGCAGGACTGTTAACAAGTGACGCATCATGAGGGGCCCCGAGGCTGGGAGACAACGGCAAGAGCTACATGCGCAGCTGGAGGAGGCCTCGGAAGGGCAGGGAAGGAGTAAATTAGGAAAGCAGATTGACACCATTTAGGGGCGACCAAACGCATGAGAGAGCGGTCCGCTTCCGGGGCAAGAGCGGCCAGATGTAACCTGATCAATTCGAAGTTGGTACATGAGCAATTAGATGACCATACAAGGCAACCTGCATGCGTAGTATTGCATAGTTAGTATAGCAAACACCCACAGTGTTTGTGCGGACAGCAAGCGGGGGCTTAGTTGTTCACAGAAGTCAAGGTGCCTTGCAGAACTTGTTGCAATGAGCTCCGTTGCAACTCGTGCCACGCCGCCTCCGCAGTGGCAGGCCCTAAGGCCTGTCTGCCCAGATCATCTTGGTACTATAGCGGAGGCCAGCTGCCCTTCAGGCGGTTTCGCCTTAAGCCTTTTGGCGCGACTGCAGCTCGCGGAAGTCCTCGAATAAGACCCCGGGCTCTCGTTATAATGCACAAGGTCACAGGCCCGCTCCTCTGCCCACATAAGTTGGGTTTGTCAATCAGTAATACAATCTTATAAATATATATTTTGGCTTAACGGTAGCATGGTTGCTGGTGGAAGTTGAGCTTCCTCGTCAGTGCCAGTACGCTATAGTTGTTGGGTGTGGCAGAGCCACAAAAAGTAGCATCCATCTCTTGCCACGTTTCTACCGCTTAATCGAATGAACTTCTAACCAATTCCACCCCCCAAAAAAAAAGAATAAATCAAGCATTCAACGGAACGTATGCACTCCTGTTTTGCTTGGCTCCGTCGGCCGTGACGTAGCACACATCCGCGCCAGAACGTGCACGCTCTACACACCTCCGTAATTCAGCATGGAACCTTGCATTTCTATTCATGCAGTTTTGAGACAGTTGTCTCGAGCCTGTTACTTTCAAATGTAAAACAAGGTGAGAAACCACACACCCGAATACTTTCAAGAGTGGGGGGTCGCACGCGGCTTCATGCGTGATCGCAGCTGAACGCCACATGCTATAAACTGGAATTCCTCGCATCATGTTTACCGTTTCTGAGGGTGGATCCTGTGAAATTAAATGCATTTCAAGGCACTCCCACAATTTACGTTCCCAGTAGACAAATGCACGACTGACTTTTCGCTCCTCCTGCCCCCATCATGATGGGTATCGGAAATAACACTGGCAGAGTTGCAGATCAAACGGCGGACTTCCACCGCCTTTTTGGCTCTCTAGATACTTTCTTTGATGCAAAGTTTGCTCACAAGCAGTGAGTGCTATTCCGGTGTCTGAGCTGGGCGGTGGGCTAGGAAGCATGGCGTGTATTCCCCACAGTTTCATTCGCAGGGGTTTGGGGGATCAATTTTTATTCATGCATCAGTTGAGCAGCGCAGCTTAAGCGTGAAGGTGTATATACGGTTTTTTCCCTATGGCCACCCTGAGTTGCGCTTACTAGTCCGTTCTAACTGGACTGCATTGGTTATTTGCGTTGCGTTGGGCTTGCTCGCCCACGCGGTTGACTTTGTGTGGAATTCATCCGATTTGTGTTTGTTTGTATCATGGAACTGCAGCGTTACAAGCGTATGCTTCAGGAGACAGAAAGAAGCCATCGTCTGCCTGAAGGCTCTGGTTGCTGAGGTACAGAACCAGCGCAGTTCGTTGAACTCTGCTTCACGCACCTCTCTCCTAATTTGCAGCCAAGAAAAACGAGAAGACGGCGCACCAAACTGGATCGCTTGGGACGTCAATAAGGGCATTCATAACGCCATTCCGAGGATTGCGGTGTATGTTCAACTGGACACGCGGAGCAGGGTGTTGCTGCTTCTGACTTATCCCTTTGTCGGATAAGTGCATATGTACACATGCATGTCCGTACTCATGTTTGAGTCTGTACATGCAGTAAGCATATCCGCAAAGCAGTACTAGGGGAGCACACCTGGCATGACAGGTACACACGTGGTTCCATTGCAGTGTAAATCCTTCTAAATAGGCATACACATGCGGGTGTCTGTCGGCGCTTAAACGCCTTGGCGCAGGCTGGTGGAATCATCCGACCTGATAGAGTTAAGGAAGAAGGTTGCCTTCTATCTGCAGTGCCTCAACTTGGTAGGACAGCTCTTTGACGAATTCGGCGGGGAGCTGCACTGACGACGCTTTTGCTGGTTCACCAAGACTGCTCGGGTATACGGTCACACACTGTCAAGGATTGATAGTAAGAAAGTTAAACGCTGAAGAAGTTAACTACGTAGGAGAGTAAAATGGTTGCCGTAAGGAGAAAGAGCACCGAAAACGGGCCGACCAACGAGTCCGCTCCTTCGGCGAAGAAACAAATGACGGAGGCCATAACTCACCAAGACGAAATCTGCGTCAATACCATCCGAGGTTTTGGCGCGGATGCCCCGGCCGTAAGCAGTTCTCTTAACTAAACAGCAAGCACCGCACCACTGGGCCGCGTGCGGTTCTGCCTGCAGCGTCTGTGTTGGCGTTTATGAGTTGTGCTTACACCAGATAGGTACACCAGTGTAACTTGCACTCTCGCGCTTGCGCATCCATGAACTTATACTTTCGCTTCAGTTGCTTTCGCCCATGGATTCATGGGTTCGTTTTGTTTGCCTAGATTCTGACTGGCTTATTTTTCTCTAGGCTGCGAAAAGCGGACACCCTGGGGCTCCTATAGGTTGTGCGCCGATGGCTCATTGTCTGTTTGGCCACGTGATGAAGTATTATCCGAAGGACCCAAGGTGGTTCAACCGAGATCGATTTGTCTTGTCCAACGGACATGCCTGCGTGCTTCAGTACACGATGCTGCACCTTGCAGGTTCGTGTTAATCTGCTGTGCCAGCTTCCAGAGAAGAAACTCAGGGCATGTGAAAAATCATATCTTCGCTCCATCTTGAATCTTCTTGGCAATTCGCAGCAACCCGACCTGCACTCATCTGTCAATTTTTGTGCTTGCATCTCTGGGACCAACAGACTCCGCTATTCCGGATGGGGCACCCGCTCGATGTGGTGTTTAGTTTGATTGGCACTCATCAACAGAATGCAGAAGACGTCAACGTTCTCTTAACACAATTTGGCTGTTTCTGTCCAATATTTTGGCAACAGCAGCTCGTGTTGTATTGCATATGCTCCCGCGAGTGGTGCAGTTTGGGTGTTGAGGGTAAACGTGATAATTCATGCTTCGCCTGCAGGGTACGATCTCTCCATCAACGACATTAAGAAATTTCGGAAACTCCACAGCAAAACACCAGGCCATCCTGAGGTTGGACACGCGCCGGGAATTGAAGTAACCACTGGTGTGTGCGGAACCCCTAATACCGTTGGCCGTAGTTTCTGTGCCCGCCCCCATTTGCCGCTTCCAATGCATTTCTGTCCTTATCTGGCTGCCTTTTCCCCGCTGGGGCAACAGTGTCTTCGCCTCGCGATTTTGTTTTTTCTACAACGGCCTGTCTTCCTCCTGGCCGTTGTATGCTGGCCTTGCCGCTTGGGTTTGTGTGTCTGCTTTTTTTTCCTCTGGTGGCTTTGTCGGTAGTTGTGTTCGGCTATGATACGTCAATGCGTGCCTGGTAGTGCATCTGCGTGGGTCTGCTCATCTCTGCCACTCCGTTCCTGCGTACGTCTGTCCGTTCAGTGTTGTTGTACTGTGTGCCGCACCAAATTCTTTCTGAGTACACGCCTCTACGCCACATTAATTGCGCCTTGCGTTTGCTTCGCTCTCAGGTCCCCTTGGCCAGGGCATTTCTAACTGCGTAGGCCTGGCTATCGGTGCTCATCATTTGGCAGCGAAGTTTAACAAGCCGAATTTCAATTTATTCAATAATTTCATATTCTGCATCTGCGGAGACGGATGCTTACAGGAAGGTCAGAAGAACGGAGCTGTGGATTTGTTCGTGCTCTGTAGTCCGGGTTTTCACCTTGAGCATCTGGTTTTGCGCAAAGCAGGAATTTAGCGTAACCAGTGAAAACGGTCCGTGCAATGACGTGCTCGTTGAGGACATTCGCGCATTAGACGCTCGACCTCTTGTGCATTGCATTTAGGTGTTTCCAGCGAGGCCTGCTCGTTGGCAGGCCACTTGGGTTTGGGCCGTCTTATTGTTTTATACGACTCCAACAATGTGACTATAGACGGTGACACATCGCTGAGCTTCACGGAGAACGTTATCCAGAGGTTTAATGCTTATGGCTGGCATACGCAAACCGTTAAGGACGGAGATAAGGATCTGACCGCCATCCTACAGGTGGGGCAAGACAAGAGTGTATGGGAAGAGTTGGGGGGAAATGCGGAGAGCACAGTCATGGACACTGCTAGAGATGGGCTGTCCAGTAAACGGGGAGGGGCAAGGAGGTGGAACAAAGTCGTGGCAATGGAAAAATTCGAATTGCATTTTTGTTCATATCCGCCTTGTGCAATGAACCCGGCATCTCAATCCATCTCGGCCAGCCTCGGCTTCGATATTTTCTGGGGAAGCCCCATATGCGATGGGCGTGTACTCTATGTCCAGGCCATCAGGAAGGCGAAGGCAGTGACGGACAGGCCTTCTCTCATCGAGATCAAGACGACAATTGGATGGGGGAGTCAGAACGAAGGGACTGAGAAGGTGCATGGAGCTCCTTTGGGTGCCGACGATATCAAGCAGCTAAAGGCGAAGCTGGGGCTCAATCCAAACGAAACCTTTCAGGTGCCAGAAGAGACAAGAAAGGTAGGTGGCAGTTCGGCGTTTATGGATAGTCTTCACGCGTTCCTATGGATTGCGGCAAGTGGCCTGCTGCATTGTCGCATTACACAATCGCTCATATTTTCAGCGTCGCGTCGAGGAGTATTTGTACAGTTTCCTGGTATTTGTGTGTAACTCAGTTCTATGCCGAAGTTGCCGCCCGCAACAAAGCTGAATACGAAGCGTGGCAGTCTCTCTTCTCCAAGTATGGGGAAGCTTATCCTGATGAAAAACGAGAGATAGAAAGGATGTTTGGCAGAGAAGTAAACGAGCAGGTTGAAGCAGCGTTGCGTGATATGGCCAAGGCAGCAGCAGACACTCCGGCCTCCACGCGTGTGCTCTCGGGCAAGGCTCTAAATGCAATTAAAGACTTCATGCCAGAGCTTGTAAGTGGGTGGCGTCAAATGCGTAGCATTAAGGAACTGCATCGAGTCGTTCACGTGTGACTTGCTTATTTCTTTGTGAACACGACGGTGGTGTATCTTGCCTGGTGCTGCCATTTTTGTCCGTGTCCCGCTTTTTTCACGTCTGTCGCGTCGTCCTTCGTATGCCTTCCGCTTTTTTCCTTGCAGATCGGTGGCAGTGCGGACCTAACGACCTCGAACGAGACAAAGCTGAAGGGTGAAGCCTCGTTCTCTCCATCCTCAAAGTTCGGCTCCTACGCTGACCGTTACATCCACTTTGGAGTAAGGGAGCATGGGATGGCTGCCATTTGCAATGGATTGTATGCATATGGATGTTACCGCCCTTTCGGGGCCACGTTCCTTAACTTTGTTACTTACGCTTGGGGAGCGGTGCGACTGGCGGCCCTTTCTAAACTCGGCTGTCTTTTCATAGCCACCCATGACTCCATTGAACTGGGAGAAGATGGGCCGACGCACCAGGCAGTGGAGGTCATTCCCCTCTGTAGGGCGTTGCCCAACATGCTTTGCGTCAGGCCAGCAGGTGAGCAGCTTACGTGTATTCGTGCAATGAGCTGGCCCCTTCCAATAAAATTCTAAAGCTGAACGCCAGTGCAGGGGGAGGTGTATTATCTGCACTTTTTCAGATGCAAACGAGGTGGCGGCGGCTTACATGCTCTGGTTGAGGCATTCGTCGGGCCCCACAGTCATGTGCTTGTGCCGTGGGAATATCCCTCCAATTGTTGGCAGCTCAGTGGATAAGGCGTTGAAGGGTGGCTACATTATTTCTGACTTCTCAAACTCGGGAGGGCCTCAAGTGAGATTGCCGGAATCGGTGTCGCAAAATTTCCCCTCGGTTTTAGATGTTATTTGCCTGATTTTGCTAATTTCCTGCGCTGTTGCCGGTGCGAAATCTGTTCTGTGGGCTTCGGAAAGAAACAGCAACAGATTGTGGACTTCATTACGAACATGTGACACTGTGTTTGTCCTCTGCGCGTTGTCCTCTTTATTGTTCGTCTTGAAAATGCGCGTTTTTGTGTCGCTTCCCCCCTTCAGGTGATAATTGCTGGCTGTGGTTCGGAGCTGCAGTTTTGCGTGGAGGCGAAGCAGCTTCTGACAAATTGCGATGTACGCGTTGTCTCCATGATGTGTTGGGATACGTTTGAACAGCAGTCGGAGGCTTACAAGGAAGAGGTCCTGATGCAAAAGGAAAGGAGACAAGGGAAAGTTTTGTGTGTTTATGTTGAAGCTGCCGCAACCCTAGGTGAGCCCGAGGACAGAGGATCGCGAGGATAGTGCAATATGCGCATTTATTTATATTTGTTCGCTTTAGATTTTCTGTCAGAGTTTCCAGTTTGTATCTTGGGGAGTGGCAAGTAAATGACAGCTCAGTGAGAGGAAACAGCAGGAGTACACAGGGCCGTGCACTAAACAGGCACCACTCCAACCATACGTGCGTTGTAGTCCTCACTCATCAGTAGATGCTCATCTTTTTTCGTTCCTGCTTCCGGCCTGAGTTTAAATTTCCACCTAACAGCAGCACGACCGTTTCCTGTATGATCGCGATTGCCCAGCACCCTAACCTGCATGATGAGCGTACGCAGTTCTGCATCTGTGCATATACTTCTCATTAGCATCGCATGCTCGTGCCACGTGTGCCTGTCCATAACTCAGGCTGGGAAAAATTCTTCGACGTGCACATCGGAATGAAGAGCTTTGGCGCCAGCGCCCCACGGGCAGATATTTGGAAAGCGTTCGGCTTTACTGGTGAAAACGTTGCGAAGAAAGTCAAGGAGGCCCTAAAGAAGTAGTCGCTTGTATAGGAGGATCGAGCATAGCATCCGCGTATCAGCGACCAGCTAACCCGTTTGCTCGTTTGCAGATACGTCAAGCAGATGTAAACACGTACATATTGTTCATAGTTTCATTTTGGTTGCCTCTCGCAGCGAGAGAACTGACGTGACTCGTAAGGCTCAAATGGTATTTGTCGGAAGAAGCGCATTTCCCTATGCCGCAGCTCTGTAGCCGCGCCTTTCCTCCATAGTTCCTTTTGAACAGCACACAAAGGTGGAGAAGGGCTGTCAACCCACTTCGCGCCCAGTATGCGTGCAAGCTGGAGTACGGTTTTACCATCTACTGACTAGTTGGCCTAAAACAGTTAAGGCTGAGAAGGCGTGAGAAGTTGTCCTCCCATTAGCCCGCAAATAGCATCACCCTTCCCTCCTTAGTTCATAATGATCTATTCGTACTTATCCATTGCTCATCTACAAGGCGATTGCCTCGATACAGGGGTGGCATGTGCTCGTGCGGCTGAATTTTTATAGCGCTTCGCATGTTAAGCTGTTAGGATATTTTGCTGAAGTGAACTGGTGTCTATCTCTTGGCGTTGTTCCGGGGAGGGCTGAACTAGGAGATGTAGGCCTCTCTAGACCGCCGACATAACAAACACTTCGGACGGCTTTCGATATAGCCGGTCATCCGCCTGGGCGCATCACTGGATGCATTCCCACTGTAAAGAAGTGTCCTTCCATGCTCAATAAGCTTGTAACTGTGGCGTAAACTTGTGGCTGTGGCTAGACCACTACCAACGAACGCACAGCCAATATTCCGCCCTACTCAGAGACTTTTTGGTGGAAAGCCAACTTCGACTACCGGAGGAGGCAGGCGCTTGTCCATCAGTGATTTCTCGGTGCACATCTTGTACTCCTGCGGGGGCGGACCGCAAGATTGGAATGGGCATTTGTTCTATCCCTCCTTGCCACCGGACACACTCAATTTCTTGTGGTGGTTAACTGGTAGGAACTAGTGTAGGCCTGCCCCTGTCCCCTGGCGCAATACCGATGAGCAAGCTACAAGGAGGACTATAGCTCAATTAGAGAGATCACCCTGGACACGACTGCAGAGAAAAAGACCATCCTTTTGAGTACAGCTTACTGGCCACTGCTCTCTACATCATGCTATTTCCTTTGCTTGGTAAGCAACATAAGTGGCGGAATGTCCGTGGATATCGTACCTCCAAAAGTTTGTTGCACTTCTCCTTCATTGCACGCTCAGACGCCTCTGTGTGGCCATCGTTGGTACAAGCGTCCAGACATTCAAACAGTTCAGTCGCTGCTCGTTCGCAACCTGCACAATAGAAGCCATTCGAAGAACCGCAAGAGAGCGAGCTCGCCAATGGGAATGCAGGGTGGGAACAGACGCGTGAGCGTAACGCTGCATGAGCTACCTGAAGCGCAAGCAAAGGCTCCAGGGACCCCAATGTCTGCATTTGAGACCTACCTTTCCTCACAATTGGGAAGTAAGGAGGGAATACCAGCCTTTCGGATGCTTCCATGGCTCCTGCGAACCGCATGTCCCTGCCGCCCGTCGGTTCGGCGATAGCTATCCCCAGTCGTGATAACCGTCGTAGGTATTGTCAGTTTTTCTATGCAATCTTCCGGTCACCTTAATAAAAATATCTAAGAAAGACTCCACGTCATCCAGACAAAACTGGTTGCGGCAGCAGCTAAGGGTCGAAGCCTGCGTCCGTAGCATCCAGTTATTAAGATCGGCTTTGCTTCGCAAAATGAAGATGCGTTAAGATGGACAACTTGAAGAAGAAACAATGAAAAACTGTGCAAAGCATTTCAAGCCTCTGGTCCTCGAGCAGTAAATAAGGGGGCTGCGCATGCGACCGGTGAACCCCTCATCTGGCCCGTTGCCACAGCAGATCCACTTAGACTTCCTTGACAAGAACAAAGAAAACTTGTTTGATAACTTGGGTCATTATTAGTTTTATCACTCGCTTAAGAGCTTCTTTTGTAGAGTCCTTCTGCTTTTCGTTGGTCGCCGCGCTGCCCAGCCGGTTGCTCCTTGGCGACCCGCTCTGTAGTATCTTCCAGAAAATGTCAGGCAACTTTCAAGATTGGACACCGGTGACGTTGCAGAAAACTAGCCCTGGGGGTAGACGTGTCGCGAAGGAGCAGGAAATAAACAAGGCCCGCAGGGCTGGAGATGCTGTCGAGACAGAGAAGAAATGTGCGCAGGATGCCAATGCGCATTTATTTGGGTTTGTGTCAGGCATTCTGCGTAGTTTCTTTGCTGTTTGCTTGGAGTTCTGCTCTAGTGTCTCTCAAATACCTCAGGTGCTTGCTTGCAAACGTGCAGGCTTGCCCGTTGATTCGCTCTGTGGTCCATGCAGGACCAAGTGGCAAGGCCCATTTCTCCACTTGTCACTTGTTTTTTTTCTGTTCGTTTCAGTTTTGGGGGGACAAAATAGAACGACGAAGGCAAACTTAATCCCGAAGTGAGCAACTCTTATAGGCCAGTGACTAACAGGCGTCGTTGGAACCGTGTGCGGTGCCGGCTCTTGCACATGTTTGCTTATATCCTTGTAGCTCCTCGCTCAAAATACCCTCATTGCTGTTCGATTTTGGCGTACTTTAGCTTTCTTCCCCTATCCTCATAGTGGAACATTTGCTTCGTTTACTTGTTTTCTCCTGCTCATCCCTGTCTTCCACCTCCGTTTTGTTCCTCTTGCTTGGGAACAGACTGTGCCACCACATATGTATTTGTGTTTAAATGCATACTAGCTGCCAACGTTCTTGCACGTTTCGTCTGTGGGTGTGTGGGTGAGTTGAACTTACGTGGGGAGATTTGAGTACGTCTGTGTTGCCACCGTTAGCGATTTGCTTTCGCTTGGTAGGCAGCTTCCAGTGCATTTGCACCACGTTTGGCAGCCTCTAGCACAGGTGCAGTTGAGAGAGTGTAGGTGCGCTTTGTGAAGGGCGCAGGCGGTGTTGGGAATAGCGAGAATGGGAGGGCAGCGGGGTGCAGGCTTTGTTTCTGTAGCACTCTGGTGTTCTATCTGCGCTATCTTACTTTGTATACTTCTGTAGTGCCAAAAAGGTGGAAGAAGACACGGGTGACTACCATATTGACCGCGTCTCCACGGACTTCTCTCGAGCGTTGGCGGAAGCCCGGAGGAACAAAGGCATGACGCAGGCCCAGCTGGCACAGGCAATTAACGAGAAGCCTTCAGTCGTCAGCGAGTACGAAAGTGGAAAGGTGAGCAGCTGACAGGCTTTGTTTCTGTGCGAGCAGTTTACAGCACATAACCGCAGCCTGCACCACGAGCAGCAGTTCACAGAAGTGAGCCTCAATTAGCGACGCATGCGGGAAACCAGAGCGAGGGGCAGTTTACCCGCACGAATTATAGGACAGTGCTTGAGAATGCAGGGGGGTTCATTTGCGCGTGTGTGCTTAGCTCCATTTCAAACATTCCGCTAGAGGCCGACTGAACTCGCCGCCAGGAATAGATTGGGTGTCTGCTTTTGCCCGCAGGCCATTCCTAATGGGGTGATTTTACAAAAGATGAGTCGTGCCCTAGGCGTCCAGCTTCCAAAGTGCAAACAGAAGAAAAGAGTGGCTGACGAATGAAGCCCACGCTGACGAGTGGGCGGTGTATTCGGCGCTCTATGCAGTTTACTGGCGCGAAGCCTTGCTTCACGTGCTTGTCTCGCACACTGCGGTGGACGCGGGTGGGAGCTGTTACCAAACGAGCAAGCAGCCGGCGCATACGGCCTAATGGTTGTTTTATTTGTTCATTCGATGTAAATTTGCTCTGTCTCTAGAATTCGATGGAAGATGACTCAAGGCTTTTGTAGGCCTCCTTGTAGACGATGGCCCATTGTGTTGAGTCACTGACAATCTCAGAAATAGAATACATGTGCTTCTGTTCTTTCTTCTGACGCCGCAGAAGATGTGGGCAGACAGACGGGCTCATCGAAACATCAATTCTCTATTTTCAACAGTTGAAATAATCGGTTTGAGAGGCCCTACGCAGCCGTGTGTAGGCACGGCATGGCGACAGAGAAGAGCAAACGGGGGAGCAGACGTTGTAAAACGTAGCGGTGTTAGTGGTTCAAGGAGATTCCACTGTAGCGAATTGACGCATATGGTTGTCGCAGCAACAGGAAATAAGTAGAACTCGAGAGACTGTCCGTCTGTCGCGTTGGTAAAACGCGCGAGACTATCCGTGTGGAGCTCGGGACGTCTTCATGCGTGATCAGCCTTGTACCGTCCTTGCACATTACCTTGTGATTAATATTAAACGAGAATGTACTGCGTCTTCGCATGGCTGACGGAGCTACTCCTCGTCCATTGTTTCCTTCAATGCCGGCTTCAGATTTCAATAGCATACAAAGGAACCACGTGTTTACAGGGAGGCTGGCCATTTAACGATCTGGTTTGTGCGGGCGCGCACAACACTCCTACAAGTGAGGAACCCCTCACACCATCTAGGTGAGAGTCGGCGAACGTCCTCGGTACTGAAGGATCAGTACGCATGCAGGCCAGTCTCTCAATGCAAGGCATGGCCAATGCATCCGGAAGTAATCGACTGGCACCTTCAATTTCAGGTGATGATGGAAAACGAACAAAGCCTCCTGCCGGAATCGAACCGGCGACCTTCCGCTTACTAAGCGGATGCTCTACCGACTAAGCTAAGAAGGCAACTGCTGGCCCACGGTAATGAATGGAGTGCGGCTTGATGGTGGAGCTTATTTAACTTCCCCTGTAAATATTTATATGTTGGAAGTGTCCTTTGATATCTCTTGTCTGCCAAGCAGCATTTTCCGTCCTGTGGTTTCTGAACCCAGCGACAGGACCACCTACACCCCGACAGGCAAGGGGAGTGGGCGGTGTAAAAATGCTTTTCTCTACATTGTCCGGGAGTCCCTATTCAAAATATGTGGAGCCTTGGCATTGTTTTGTTATTATTAACTCTATGCTAAATATTTCATTTGCTCATTTATAAGCATCTCATGGCCCTCCACTCACACTGACGAGACGAGCGTCGGGGTGGCGCTAGTTGAAATGACGGTTGGGGGGCACATGGAATTCCACCATTCGAATAATGGGGAGCGTTACTCAGACGCGCAGAATCGAAGCAGCCTAAATGACTACATGCTGCATTTCCCTTTTGAGCCACGATAATTTGGCCGTCTTCGGCATGAGTTCGGGCATCACTGGTACTGTGAGCGAGACCACCACCGGTCCTCCTAGAACTGGAAGGAAACACAGTGACGAGCACTTGAAGCGGCCGGTGCACAAGCCTTTGACATTATTGTAAGTATACACACCCACCAGCTGGGAGCAGTATGGCACGTGCTGTCTTGGTGGCGTTGTGAGTGTCGCATCTTCTGGCGTTTGCTGTCTGAACGCTTGTGGCGGGCAGCATTGTAAGCAGCTTGTGCGGGTTTCGCCGATGCTATTTTCACCCAGGCACTCAGAAGTATTCGTCATTGAGAGTTGCTTGACTATGGGTCATTTTGAAAACGCTTAAGCTGCGCTGCGTTTGTTACAACGGAGCCACCACGCCATCACCGGGTTGGGTTTCCACTCTCGACGCCCACGAGCTGCCTTCGTCGGCAAAGTTCTCCTGTGTTTGCTTTTCGCACTCGATTGGTCAACGGAGGCTTTAGCGCTTCTGTGACATCAGCGCTTGCTGTGTGTGTGGTGGTGGACAAAGCGGGGATTACTAGTACGGCAATTTTGAGGGAGTGCCGACAGACCCGCGTCATCCGGCGTTCGCGATTCTATTCAGAGTTTTACTGGGAATTTCTCTCATCGCATTTGCCCTTCGTTCAGCAGGTTTCAGTCCCGTTGAACTGCATTGCATTGGCATTGGCTTGACTCCATCCAGCTGGGTGCTTCACGTGGTGGCAATTCGCTTCGCCCACCAGACGCGCGGGGAAGATCATGGCTGCTCTGCTGCACATTTCCCGTCTGCGGCAGGCATTGCTGAGCAGCGCCAGAGATGCAGGAGAGGTCTTGACGAAAGCCTTCAGGGCCGATGAAGCTTCGAGGGTCTCCCAGGTAGTCGCTGCTTTCCTGGATGGTCCGCACGCATCTGGTGCGGCGGCGGCACTGCCAACGGCAGCAGCGGATACCCAGAGTTCATCGCAAGTATCGGCGCTGGCCACCGACCTTCCAGCGCCCGGCGATGCCCCCGAACAAGGCAAGATGACCTCGTCCATCCCCGTTTTCGAGCCCATATTGGAGCGTGCAGCCTCCCCGAGGGACAGTTTTGCTGAGTTGCGCAGTAGCACAAACGCCACAAGAGGCTTTGGCAGTCGGTTGGATGAATCAGAAGGCTGGTTTCTCACGGATATAATTTCTGGGTGCGAAGAGGGGAGCGTACATGCCTACATGGTTCGAAACGGCACCCACGGCAGTGGCGGCAGCAGCGTGAGCAGCAGCAGCAGCCGCAGTAGAGGTCATGGGAGCATGGTAATGGTCTCATCAGTCGAGTCTTTGCTGTCTGCAGACAGAGATGTAGATGACATAGACGGTCTGAGCAGCGGTGGGTCATCCAAGGATGAGGAGGACAGCCAGCCACGACTTGTTGCCCCCATTGTTCTTTCTGGGGTGTATCCTTCAACGGGTACAATCGCAGAAGATGATACGCAAGCGGCTGCTGATTTGGAGGAGCAAATGGAGCAGGACACTCTTCCTCTCCTATCAGCGTTGGGAAAGCAGTGTGACGATGAGGCGATTTATATCGTTAACCGCAGACCTATTTGTTGGGATGGGGGGAGATTTTACATGATCGAAGCAGGACATGGGTGGATCAGCTACCAGTCACTTGAGGTAAGGGAGTGGGAACAATGTATGGGGTAGCTAGAATAGCCAGAGTAGAATTTAGTGAGCAGTAATCGCTGCATGCAATGTGCTGCCAGGTTCCCAACCTATTTGGGCACGGCTGCGTTTTATGTGCCATCCCAAGGCAGCTTACTCAGTGCGAACAAGCATTGCGTATGAACTCTGACTGTCTCTTGGCTGAACGAGACATTGCCAGTGCATTGTGTATCTGAGCGTTTTACCCGCACATGCCGCTATTTTAATTACTCGCCTTTCTATAACTCCTTTCCCGGCCCACGCTTCATTCTCTCAGTGCGTGCTTAAAGTAGACTTCCTTCATTTAGGCATGTGAGTGCATTCATTTATCAACACTTGCATATTTGTATGCATGTAGAGCGCACATAGGTGATACATAGGCGTGCGATGCTCACAGATGCCAGTGGGGCTTCCAGCCTGTACAGAACGTGTGTCTGCTCATTTTAAATAGTGCTTCGGTTTCGTTCCTTCAGCATCTTCTAAGTTTCCTGAGAGAGACTGTGAAGGTTTTTGGTGCTGATCATCTAAGGAAGACAAAGTTTTTGCTACCTGTCGGGGAGGCGGAGGTCTTTCTTGATGAGCTGCAGAAGATAGTTCCATATTCCTTGAAGGACTTTTTCAGTGCCGCGAAGGCAGGTATGGTCAAAGGGCAGCAGACCACCTGCACACGCTGCTATAGGGAACACTAAATCTTATTTCAGTGGCGTGTAAAGGCGCAGGTGCCGCTGGGTGGCCTTCTTCGGTGTTGGTTGTAAGCAGAGTTAATGGCAATTTGCAGGGATTCGTCGACATGAGTGTGAAATTTGCTCTGTGCGTGTGCCTCGTGATTGCTTCGCTACAGCCAGCACTCCAGTTTTGTTTGCACTCGTTATACGTTTTTTCTTCGTCCAGTTGACAGAGGCAGCAGTTGCTTGGGGCGCGGCAGCTGAGGTCGGAGCAGCAACAGCAGCAACAGCCAGTGTACCTGCTGCTGCTGCGGGAGCAGCAGCAGCAACAGCGGCCGCTGAAACCGCAGCCGCAGCAACGGGTGCGGCCAGTGTATACGGCGTTTGTTCTACAGCAATCGCACTCACACCTTGGGTGATTCTGATCGGGGGTTTCGCCTACGGAGTGTACTGCGGTATACGTAGAATGCATAATGTGAGGAGGAAAATATTTCTTTGCCCAACTGAGGAGGCTGGGGAGACGGAAATGGAGGAGGGAATGCCCCAGGGTGCATGCCGAGACCACTGCATCATCAAATGGGGCTAAGCAGCAGGCGAATAGTCAGATTTATTTTTGTGGAGAGTCTACACAGAAGCAGAAGAGCCAGCGTCCATGGGCACCTCCAAAGTCAAATTCGGAGATCGACTGTTGGCCTTCGCTTCTATGTTCATGCTGCGATTAGATAGTGTGTGCGGTTGTGAATGGACGCCAGCCAAGCCGGCAGGAAAGCAGGCAGTGCTGGAGCAAGTTGCACAGCCTACAGATATCTTGGTCCTCCACACAGCGCAGAAATCAGAATGGGGAGCACTAGCATTGACGTTGGCTCGACAGAAGTTATGGCAGCAATACCAGGCTAGCAAGCAACTTCTGCAACGGGATGTTCTGAATGTGGTGTTCTTTCTCATAGCCACAAAACGTACACTTCTTGAGTGCTCGCTTCGATACCCACAAAACGTACACTTCTTGAGTGCTCCTTTCGATACCCTGTTTGAGGTTGTTTGCTGCTGCTGCTGCTGCTTCGGGCATCTATGCTGTTTCTGTTGCAGAAGCATCTCAACAGCGGTAAGGAATGTACTTGGCGCCGCATATCTCGGCTGCGGCGCTGCTTGCACTCAGCGGGCTGAGCATGAAGTGGAATTCTTTTGTCTTACTTGTCCTGTGGACGGTGTGGGAGAGCGTGCCAGCACGCCGTCGCTTTGAGTAGCGACTGGGGGCCCTCTGCTCGTGTTGTGAATTACTGCAAATTGGCGAACAAAATAATGAAGGTTTCGATACGTCCTTTATGTTGCACTTTGGCCGCATTTTGACGTGGCACGGCGATCTTCCACAGGACCAGCTCCAGAACAGCAGCTTGCAGAGTGTGCTCAAGGCAATTCAGGTCGCCTGAATTTGTTGACAGCCCTGCGTATTGCAGGAACATTCACAGGGATAATCCATGTAGGTATAGGGACCTCTACATTTGACATGAGTGCAGTCAACACCAAACAGGACGGGCGGTTGCATACAGTTGGCACCCTAGCGGGCGCGGTTTTGCTTCACGTCATACCCAGGAAGGGTGATGTAGAGAGAATAGTAAGAGCACAGACTTGCAGAGTGGGACGCGTTGCGTTTAACTTGCACACCAACTCGTACACGAGACGTTCACGTGATACCCATAGACAGACGCATGCCTCCTAATAATAAACCAATGCGCAGTGCGGTCTTTCTCAGTAGCATGCGCGTGGAAGTAGTAACTGCGTGCGGTTAGACAGCTGCTTAGCTACCCGTCATCAACGCCAGAGAAACGTAGGTGAGTACACCAACGTCAGACAGGCATTTCTAGGGTAGCGACAACTGTGGGCTTGCGAACGTTTGGGAGGGGGACTGTTTTTGCAGCATTAGTTGCTGCCGACAGAGGGGCGTCACACTACAGTCCGCCTTCTCTACCTATCATCTTTAGCCCCCTGTTCCCCTCTTGTCAGGATGGCAGCGCATAGGACGGAAAGTCACCTTTGTTTTATATCACCTTTGCTTTATGCTGTTCGTACTTCGCGTTTTCACTCTACTGCCGCTCGCAACAATTCGGCTGGGGACACAGGGCACGCAAGAGGTTCAGCTACTTTCTATGAAATGTTACCATTCAAGTTTTGACTCGCATGCAGCTCACGACGGACCTAGGCAGAGGCTGAGGACTATAGTTTTACCGTATCTTACAAACAAATACAGCCGCCGCAGGGCGGCCTGCGCGCTTGGCCATAACTAAATAATTAGTACCGTTTAGAGAAACAAATAGACTCGGCTGATCTTTTTGCACTTCAATTTTCGCATGTCTTTCTTGGGTGCCTTACCAGGCGCCGCTAACCATCCGGGCTGCTCAGTCCCACCAGGCCGCTATGTGCACCGTGGAGCACCCGGTGGCCCTCGGTGAGTGCAGAACCTTTCCTTTGGAATATTGTGCCTGTTTCACAGAAATATGTATTCTTTGTGTGCATAAACAGAACTTCATACCCCAGACAGCAGAAGCCCATTTCGCTGCCCATCAGCGCGGCTCACACTGGTTGCCGGCCCCGGGGTGTCGAAGTGCAGGGCCAGGGTTAAGTTGAAACGTTCTTTTCAAAGCTCTTAAAGAGCCGTATTATCGAGAATTTAAGTTTATTGGTGAGCCTTTGGTATCTAGATAGATGCGCTCTTCCGTGTGCGCTTCACTTATAGCGGGGCTCTACTCATGGTCCTCTCTCAGACACCTGAAGGAAGCTTCCCTTCTGATCGCTACTTCACTGTTGGACAGTATGTTTCCGTGTTTTATTAATCTCTCTGGCGCATTGATTGCATTTATGAGCTTGGCGGAGGGCAGTTTAACGCTTGCCTGCTGGTCGACCCCGGGCGAGTAGCTTGTCGTGTGGGATCTGTGGCCTTTGATGGCAATTCCTCGATAAATTATCCTGTGCTTGTCTTTAGTCATTCGATGGTGTGCTTGTTGTGAGAGACTTATGCGGGAAAATTGCCGATGCGCCGCTCTAAAGGGGCCTTCTGTGTTCAACTGGCGCGCGCATTGGTTTCTATGGTGCAGTGCTTCGTTTTATGGTTTGACGAGGTGACAAAAAATGCGCATTATGCATCATTGAGCTCGGTTAAACTGTTCTGCATGCGCGCAGGGCCGGGCCCTTCATATCTTCTTTGTGTTACAAGGATGTGGGACAGGAAGTTTGTTATCCGCAATGCGGATATGCCCGACGAAATGCAGCAGGATGCGATCGACTGCGCAAACCAGGCTTTGGAGAGATATAATATTGAAAAGGACATTGCGGCTCACATCAAGAAGGAGTTCGACAGGAAGCACAACCCCACCTGGCACTGTGTTGTAGGCCGAAACTTCGGCTCTTACGTAACCCACGAGACGCACAACTTCATTTACTTTTATATTGGACAGGTGGCGGTTCTGTTGTTCAAGTCTGGATGAGATGAAACGAACACTACTGGAGGGATTTCTAGGAAGTCCGTGCCTACCTTCATGCCTTCCCTCCGCTTTTAGTTTTTTTTCCCCTCTCCCTCCATCCCTTGGGTTGTGCTAACAGGCGTTTGCCGCAAGACAGATGCGGCCTGCGCAAGACAGATATGGCTTGCGCAAGGCAGATCTGTTGCGGGGATTTGACGGGGGAAACTTGAAAAGCAGGTACATTCCTGTGCGTATACGTACATATGAGCCAATGTGTACACAAACATCTGCTGATTTTTCGTGTAGTCGCTCTCTTTGCATCCTTTCCGAAAAAGAGGAGAGTGCGATGAGACGGTGCGAGACGTTGACGCAGTAACTGAATAAGCACGAGGAGCGACAGCAAGGATCATCTGATTCTCAACTTTCGCCTCGGCCTTTAAAGATATTTTCTTTGCTTGTCATCTGTTCCTAGTGCACTCTGCAGGAAATGCATCGATGTATAGGCTCCGCACTTGGCGCTAGTAACATGACTATTCAACAAAAAGACGTTAAGTGAAGCTCTGGGGACAAGCAAAGGGTTACTGACAAAGTGGCAGCGCAGAGACAGAGCTGTAATTCAGAGGCACATTTGATAGCTAGGTGGAAGAGGAAAGCAGTTGAGGTGTCAAGCTGACTTCACGAGCTGCGGAGAAGTTTCGGGCCGAGACAAGTCGCTCTCCCTGTCTCCTAGTGCATCCAATATTAGCATTCTCTCGCCTTTAGGAGTGCATATTCAACTTCTCGGGGCCCACACTCAATACGGACCGAAGGGCGCACCATCAGCCGCATCAGGGCAACGCTCATGTGTTGCCCCAAATAAGCAGTGGCCCCAGTGTGGACAGCTGTGGGTGAAGTGTAGAGCTGGTTTGTAAGAACTAAAGGATGAATGTACGGGCAAAGAGCTACGTAGCTGTTCCCGTATGAAGAAAAGAAATAGGAGGCCAGCGTTTTCAGCGGTGGCACTTCTACAATGATGCAGCACCCTATCCATTGAGTGCGCTAGACTACCTTTTTCTCATGAGTACTGACACGTCGGTAAAAGTCGAGTTCTCCAGTTAAACCTGATCCCGTGTCATCGACGGCGATTTCAACATACCATTTGCTTCTACTCCCTCGGCCACAGCTGCATCCTCTTCTGTGGGCGGGTTCCTCTCGAAGCTTGTCTCATGCACGTGTGTTTCACTACTGAGTACTGTAATGTCGATCTCGCTCGCTCTTAAAGAGGCCAGACGACGGACCCTTCTCTCCCTGAGCATATCTGCGACAGTCCGTCCATTGATAGACCCCATTAACTTAGCAGTGACAAACGCTATTACCAGGAAGGCTGCAGAGATCCCAACGTCCCAAACGATGTTCGCGATTGCAGTACGCTTCAACTCACGGTACTGTGGCTCCCCTACCTTCTGCCAAAGCAGCTGTAAATACGTTATGATTTCTTCCTCATTGTCTTTGGTTGAGCCAGGTTTGCCCTTTGCCCCGGCTGCCGCACCCACCTCCCCTGTCATCTTCATTTGTGCGTCTTCGACAGAAGTTTCCACCTCCAACTGTTCACCAGGAATATCCTTATCCCCAATCTCTGCTCCCACTTGGTCACTGGTCTCTTGCGCTGCTGCTTTCTGTGCCTCTTGAGCGCTGGTCTCTCTTTCTGTTGCCGGACCTGCCTTACCAGCTGTTTCCCCCATCGTTTTCGCGGTAATGTGATGGGAAGGCTGCGCAACCCCAGTGGTCGCTAAAACGTCTCGCTGCTCGTTCACCGCAGCGGTGTCTCCCTGTGTGCTTATTACTTTGTGAAATGGGTGGAAGTGCCCTCCCATGTCTATGAATGTAAAAACCACTTCTGCATCCCTCTCGAATTGCAGGCCTAGCCGGACGCGCCGTGCGTAGCCGAGCGTGGACACTGGGACATGAATGGTAAGGCTGTCACTAGCTTCTTCGAATAATACTTTCCCTTCAGTCTTGTGAATCCTGCGATCTTTCCCTCCTTTTGCATACAGCTGGAGCATTTCAGAGGCAATCTCGTCCAGCAACTCAGTCTGCTGCGAGGTCCATCCCAGCACTATGGTATCCATTGTTAATTTGTCTGCTTCGGGCCTACCCAAATTCCCGAGAGGCAATGCCACTCTGCACTCTCTCTTCAAGCTGAAGAGCGACAACTCCGCCGCCGCATTCTCCACCCGCTGCGTGAAACTGTCCTTCGACCCAATAAGCGAATGAAACGCTGCATTTATCCCCAAGGTCGGGATAAGGGCCAACACCAGACCGATCACCCCACGACGGACCACGTCCACTCCGTTCATCACCACTGCAAACAACGCATCAAACCGCAAACAATGTTCTCTATGTCTACTTCAGGGTCTAGTAAAAATGGAGATGTAGAGAATACACAACTTCACTCTGCCGCGCAACAGGCTACGGGAAAAGGCCCAAAGATGACGCCTGCAAGAATGCTGCTAAGTCAGCTTCACAAAGGGAAAAGAAAGGGTGCTTCAGTTGCATGCATGACAACGTTCAAGTTCATGCAGCACCATATCTGCGCTCTTCCACGAGAATTCACTTCTTTCAGAAGCATGAGCGCATGGAGCAAAGTGCTCAGTCAATGCCATTCAAAAAGCAATAGACTCGTGAATGCACTGGCGCCAACGGACGCGTGCATCCGCCTACATTCTTTTCTGCTTTGCCCTTTTATGTCGGGTAGGCAGTCTAGTTGGACGGGGTCGCCAAACTTTGCACCCCTCTTAAGGCGGCACTGGTTAGTTGCAAAAGCCTCCATGGCTCTTTCTCTCTGGATTTTTTCCCACATCTCCGCCACGTCCAGCTCATGGGCTTCTTGCATATCCGTTGCTCCGTTTTGTCGCTGCTGCTGCGAATGCACCTCTGCAAGTTCCAGCAGCAGCCACTGCTCAGTGCTTAATCCCTTAGTGTTGAAGGGCAACAAACGGGAGGGTGGGAGCGTCACTGCCACATTATCCTTCACGCGCAGGCGGACGCCGACGCCCATGGGCCGGGACACATCCGCGTAGAGCTCCACATCCACCTCCACAGACCAGGGTCCAGGCAGGAACTCTGAGAGCGCAAACACGAGCAAGAGCAACGACCGGAAGGCATGCGCAAACAAAAAGCAAGGAGATTTTCCAAGTGTGCCTGTCACGATCAAAAGCAACGAATGCACCTGGAATACCAACACGGCGGCAGTCCTGCATACTGCGCCCAACCTCGGCACACACCGCCAACGCTAAAACCCAGAAAAGGGTTGCAACTCCTACGCTAGAAAGGCAGGGGGGCACAGGTATTATTACTTTGTAGGGAAAGACTTTCCTAACTGCCGCCGCCCCCGGTGCAGATCGCTGCAAAACACCAGAGCGCCTTTCTTTGTTTTCCGGGGATACACTCTGCATGCATCCCGAAAGGAGTGAATGCGAGAGTTTGAATCCACGACCAACAAACGAAGGGTGTAAACCTGCGGCGGCTGCAGAGTTGCACTCACCTAAATAAGCAGTCTCGTTCTCCACGGGTCTGGAGAGCAGCACCGGTTGGCCCTTCTCAAGACAGAAGACTATGGACTTTTCGCCTGGCCTTGGAGGCCCGGCGCCATCGTCGCCTGAGGGCGTCAATATCTGAAAGGGGGCCATGGGAATTATCGGGGCCATGTCTTGGGAGGGATCGCCTTGCGGTAGATGGATGTACTTGACGTGCAAACGAACATCGCCCAGGTTCAACTCATCGGTTCCATCATAATCCACCTTCACGACCTCAATATCTGCGAACCACGGTGCCTCCGTACAAACAGCAGAAGAGAAGGAATCCTCAAAAGACCCGCTGCTACTCCTGACAGTCCAGCCAAAGCGTTTGTTCAATGACGCGCACCGCCCCTTTCCTGTGGTAGGCCTCATTGTGTGCTGGGGAAAGGACGCGGTGTCCCTCGACTCCCCCCTCTCGGTCACATCAGATGCAGGCTTCGGAGGGTCACCAGTTGTCTCACTAGCTCTGAACCGCTCAACATCGATCCAAAGACGGCACTCCCCTAGTGCCCTCTCCAGCGCTGTGTCCTCCGTGTAGGCATCCAGTAGGCTCGAGAATTGCGGGCTGCGCAGAACCTCTGCAGGCGGCGGGATTATCTTCACCTCTTCCATGGAGGCGCCACCCCGAAGGAGGGTAGGTGCCTCCATCAATCTTTGCTCGTGCAAGTCCATGGCCACAACTACCGCTCGGCCGGTGAAGAGAACCGTCGACAGCAACACAAACCGGCAAAGTGCCATTTGCTCGAACCGTTAAGATGCCTATGAAGTGCAGGCAGCCGAGGGGCTCACCGGCCACTATATCAGTGATCGCACTGCCTGGGACGTCCCAGTGTCAGTTGCTGCGCTTCAGCCAAGGAAGTCCTTGCGCACGCGATGGGGGCCTTTTCGCCTTAGAAGGCATTACAGGATCTCCCTCTTTTCTTTCCAGTCGACAAGGTGCTCAGCAGCTTGGGCATTGGCATGTTGGATAAGGCTCGTCGGTACATCCATCCCAAGCAGGGCTTGCGAACAGGGCTCGGAAAGACGCTGGTTTCTCCCTTGGCATGCAGAGGGCACAATACTGCACGCAAGGCCTATCGCCCTCGCAGCGGCAGCCTACTAAGCCTCCCTTCTGCAATGTTCACTCGGGGGTAATGAAATTCCCAAAAGGGTAGTTGAGCGCAAGAGTACCCATCGGGAACTCTACGCCCGCGGACACATCCGCTGTGTTCCCACTACAACGAGCGCGATATGCCCCTAGGAAAACAACTAAATGCCTCGCGTTCACGCACCTAAGGCAACTGAACTCACAACTCGCAACTCCATTCAGCTGCCAGGAAAGAAAGCCAATGGGAACATCCTTCTGGGCGCGCTCAGCCCCGTCTACTGACGGCCAGCTGTAGATGAGAACGGTGGCAAGTCGCCAATAAGCTCTCTCTTCTGCTCCTATATATGTAAATATTGTCTAACCAGTGTATAATGGAGTTAAACGCTTACAAGAACACGGCGTGCCTTCCCAAGTACAATGAGGGAAGCGACGAGCCACGATGCTCGGATTGGTTCGATATGAGTAGTTTCGTGAACGTTGGTCTTGTGCAGCGAGCATATACCTTTTCAGTGTGAATGGGGAGGTTTTTGCCGTAGGCTGATATTAATTTGTTGACCTGCTTTCAGAAGGTTGGTAGAGCGGCATGCTGTCATGTGTCTGGCTGAGCAGACGGCTGCCGGCAACTATGGACGAGAAGGCGCGGCAGGAATAATGTAGTCTACACACGAAAGTCGCAAGACATCCTTAATGAGGAACAAAAACTGTTTTCACTGCCCTTGCGCTGGCAGATCAACGGGGCAGAGCACCACGCAGCGGCGCGCCACTTGCGTGTAGTTGGTGAGGGTGCTGTCGTTAGCTAAGGAAGGGCAAAAATAATATGACAAGGGTTTTTTCAGAAGAAGCTGATCTCCTCCAAGTCTCCTGGCATCTTGGGAGAGGTGGGTGTGTCTCCACTTGCGTTCAGGCTGGCTGTATAGTGCTCAGTAGGCCTTCAATAGCCCGCCTTAAGAGTTGTCTGCAGTGTTGGCGCGTGCAACAAGACGGGGCTTGGTTGCGCTTTCATGTGGGGTTGCCTAGCAGCACTACTTGCAGCAAGGGGTGGTGCAACTGACGAAAGAGCGCCTCTTCTTCGCACCAGTGGAGGCCCAGGTACGTCGTGCCTGGAACGCTCAGATACTGAAGAGGGTAGCAGCTACTTTGGGATGGGACTAGTCTACTAGCTTTTTGAGTCTGTTGCACCTCGCTACGGCCTTTGGGTAAGATCGAGGACCCTCAATACACATGGTATCACCGCATGATTCATCGGCGCAGTTGCGAGCAAAGAACTGTGCACAATTGGGCACCTGGCTATCGGGTATATGGCACTGATTAGTAGGGAAGATACAATGCAAGGAAAAAGCCCGAAGTCTTTACTCTAGACTCCACTGCAGCTCGCTACGGCCGTTGGCTAAGATCGAGTACCCTCACTACACTTGGTATCACCTCATGGTTCATCGACGCAGTTGGGGACCAAAGAAATGCACACAGTTGGGTAATTCCCAAAATTCGTGGAAACTTTGGCCCTTATCTCCTCCAGCATAATGTAGGTTAGTCAGGATCTGCAGTCCGTTGCACCAAGTCCAGCGGGTGGGCGCCGTGACCTGCAGTTCATTCAACGGAAAATGCCTTTACAGCAAAATCCACCAATGAAGATTGCTCACGGGCGCTACGATGTGCTGGCACTGAAGTTCTTTGCTTTCCTGTCGTTGTACTTTCGTTTTCAAAACGCATACCGAGGAGCTATAGTTGCTACTGGTGTCTTTGTTATTAGAAAGGTAGGCACGACAGTGTTGTTCTTATCTAGGCAAGTGTACCACTTTTCCGAAGCACGCCTGAAAAATGGGAAGTTCCCGTATGCTGTGGCGTATGCTTATCAACAGGACGGCAAGGGACTAGGGCATGAAAAAACAAAAAAAGCTTAAACGAGGGCAGCTACTGATACAGCACTACATCGAGATGTACCACTGCTTGGTGAACGGAAGTTCAAAGGTGAATTCGGAGCTTCGCTGTACAAGTGGTTTTTTTCTGAAGTGCTGTCCCCAGAAAAGAGCAATCGGAAGCTTACTTGGCCAGGGGCGGAAATAAAGGGTAAAGGGGTGGAACTCGCCAAGAGTATAGGGTACTTACGACGCACTACAGAGAAAAACTCCACTTCCACCGCCTTCAGTGAGAAGGAAGAAAACAGAATTGTAATTGGCCAAGATATAGACCCTATGAACACTGGGGCTGCCAATGAAAGCCGCTCCCGGAAGACGAAAGGAGGCGAGGAGATATGGGGGACGGAGAATCCTGCGCCCCCCGGTGCTTCCCCCAAGCACTCAGAAAGCCAGGGGAATTGCCGAGAGGCCCTTCTGCCTTTGTTTTGGAATGAACAAGGTAACAACTCGAGATCACATGAGCACGATACGTGCTAAGGAAGTGGATAATCTGTGTGTCGAGTGTCGTCGCCAGTGGAACCAACAAAGCGGCAAGGGGAACGTCCTGGCCACCTCACGGTGTGCTACTTGATGATGCGATAACCGCACATGCAGATCCGCCTCGAGTCAACTCCATGCATATCCAAGTTTGTAACAATAGCCAGGAGATGCTCGTTCTACATGGCACAGGCTGTGAAGTGGATGAGATATTTGAAGCTACGGTGAGGGTGTACAACCTACCTGTCTATTTGTTAGCGCAGTGGCTGTCCAGATACGTTCCGTAGACGGTAGAGAGTATACGAAGATCGGTAAAACTATAATAGTAATGTGCGAGCTTTACTTCAGAAATGGATAATACTGCCATGATATGAGACTTTTGTTCTCGACCACTTTACCACGACATAACCCTGTGCAAGCCGTGGGTAACTCAGCTGAATGCGCGTATGCCGGCCCAGGAAGACACTCTTGATATTGTCATGCCCGGAAATACAGAAAGAATGCAGCTATAGTCGGTCTCAACTGCCCTTGCATTCTCAACGGCAAGGGGAATGAACTCACTTTCCGAAGGAAAAACGAGAGAGGAAGCTCCTCCGCAGTGCAGAGGCGCTGGAGGTAACGTCGGAGAAATGCATTCACTCCGTCGCGGTAGTCTCAAGAAGACTGCAGTTTTGGAACATTCGGTTCCAGATAACACCCGAGGACCAGCACACGTGGGAGGATTCGGAGGAAAAGTTCTCAGACCTACACGTATGCACTATATAGCAAGGAGCTGTCAACAGGGGGTCTGTAGTGATCAGCTGGCCTACGCTGTCACTACGATAGATTCCTAAGTAGGCTGAATAGGTGCACACACTATATCCAGACACCAAATACTATAATTCTCGCTGCAACCACTAATAAACACAAGCAACAACCAAGTATACGATCGAGTTCCAAATATTGTTCGGAAAGGAAAACCAGAACAATAGAACTGATGCCCGACCCTCGCCGAGGGCGTGGGCCAGGGTCACAGCAACAGCCTCGCACCCAGCCCCAAGCTGGTGCCGGCTGGCGACACTCTGATCCTATGAAGCTGCTCTTCCATCTAAAAGTGTCCTATTCCCTGAAATATTCTACAATATTCGTTGCTTTACATGATTTTAGGCCTCTAGAGGCCACACCAAAGCTCCATTGTA